AATTAAATACCTTGAATACTTAGATATTTTACTAAATAAATGTTACAATGTAAGGCAGAAAGCTTATTAGATTAGCCACATGGAAAATCTTTTGTGACATAGTTTGCCAAATTTATTGTTTTCATTTACATAAGTTTTTTGAAGATGATTTTGATTGAAAACTTGTGAATTCATAATTTAAATAAAGCAGATGTTTATTTTATATTGCCATTATATTTTTGTCCTTTTATTTCTATATGGAGCTATCCTAACTTTTTATTAGTGTATTTCTAGAATTTACACAACTTTGGGTCACAAAAGGGTTTTGATTTGGTATGAAAATGTGAGGAAAGAGAAGATTATACAGCAAAATGATACCGACATATAGTTGAATGTGTCACTAAAAATACTTAGAGAGGTTTCAGGTTTCACAATGCAATGATCCATTCATTAAGGAGAATAAAAGCAGAGGGGTTCAACCCCGATTTGCAAAAGTAATCACCAATGGCAGTTCCTTAAAATACAGAGGATTGGGTCACACTCCAGTTCTACTAAATTAGGATCACTGGGGAGGGGACCCAGGACATGTTTTTTTAAAGCACAACATTTTTTTCCACACAGACAGGCTTAGTAACCACAGATATAGCAAGTTCCAAGTGAAAATGTATTTATGTGATTTTTCCAAAATACTTCAATTTTACAAAGGTTCTTGAAAAATACTTTTACATGACAAGCTAATGAATAGAGTTTGCTATTTACAAAACAATCTTACACTGCAGTCTGTCCATACTGAGGCTGAATAACACCTTTACATTAATGCTACACCTACCTAAAATATTTTTATATGCTTTTAAATAGTGCAGTTTCTTCCTTGGTTAAGAAGAAACAAGACTCAGGAAGAATCATATAGGAAATGTTTAGAGTGGTGCAAGGCAGCTCTGGGAGGGTTATTGGAGGGCAGAGCAATTGGAAAGTTGTATTAATGGGAATCTGTCAGCTTCAGGAAGCCAAGCTGGTTACCTGCCCTAGTGAATGTTGTTTTTTGGTTCCATCAACTCAGAAGTGCTGTGTTATGTTTTTGTCGAGGTGGAATCATGGTAAATTCATGAACTAATGAATAATTCAGAATCAACATTTTATTGCTTCATGTTCCGAGTCTCTAATTGTTTCCTGGAATATTGAGGTGAAGAACGAGCTGATCTCTTGACCCGAAGAGAACTTGCCTCGCCTTAAGAAAATGTTGTGTATTATGTGGTATTTTGTTATGAATGACATGCATTTTCTTAATATTGGATCCCCCAAATGACTAAATTCTCCACTTTCATGAACACTCCTTGAATACTTTTCTACATTGTTTATTAATTAACTTAGAAGAAATAAAAGGAAACAACTAATTGTAGTAAATCTTGTTTTCCATTTTAAAAAATGAGTACAGATTTCCTTGTTCGTATTTTATTTTTCACTTTTATCCCCCTAACTTATTCTTATATATGCTTCCACATGTTCTCCTAGCATATTTTAATCAAGAGTTGAAGCCTATGTCTCTATCTTGGCTTCAAGTCTGAGCATATGTACGGTGTAGCAGCCGAACATGCAGATACTGGATTCACTCTCTGGGTTTGAATTCTGGCCCTGCCACCTGCCAGCTGTGGGAGCCTGAACAGGTCACCTGAACTCCCTGGGCCTCAGTTTCCTCATGTGTATCAGGGGATAATAACAGTTCCTGTTTCATGGAGTTGTTTTGAGGATTAAATGAATTAATATGTGAAAGAATTTCTAGCAAGGCCTGAAACATAGTATAAGTGCCATATAATCATTAGATATTATCATTGTTAATTGATATGTTTAAGAACTGTTATCCCCTAATGACCATTTTCCTGGTGTGCTATTAATGCACCAATCTGTGAACTAACAGGGTTTTCTTAAGAAACGCTCACCTCCAGAAGCCGAAATTCTTCGTCAGCTCTACACGGAGTCTTTCCCGGACTTGTATCGCTTCAGCGTCCAGAACTTAGAATACAAGATGGAGTTGCTGGAGGCCTTTGTAATCACGCAAAGCATTAACATGCTTCAGGGCCTGATTCCCCCCAAGGTAAATTGCTCGACTTTATAGAGAATTTCTCTCTTATGAATTGAACCATACGGGGGAAAAAGTGCAGTATTTGAAATTAGATTTGGTTAGCGCTATGGGGAAGGGGGAATGTTTCAAACGTGGACCCCACATATTTTGGTATTTTTTTCATTTTTTTTTTTTTAACAAAGCAATGCATGGGTTTGGAATTTCGTTGCAGGCTAACAAAGTCATGTAATAAATATCCT